TATCTCTATATCTTATTACTCTATCTCGGTATGAGAATAATAATATAGGTTAGAAAAGTGACTAAAATTCCTTGACATGAGTTAAGGTGAGATTGTGGAGTTATCTTTGTATATTATTACTCTATCTTGGTATGAAAGTAATAATATAGGTTAGAGAGGTGACTGCAATTCCTTAACATGAGTTAAGGTGAGATTGTTGAGATTACCTCCGTATATTGTTACTCTATCCTTTTATGGCTACGGTTTAGTTTTAGTTAATTCTTGTTTAAAGAGTGACCTTGTGATAGGTTTTCGTCTAGAACTTTCCGCTGAGTAATAATATAGGTTAGAGAGGTTACGAAGACTCCTTAACGCGAGTTAAGGGGGAGATTGTTGAGGTTAACTCTGGTTAAGGAGTTAATCTCAGTTAAAAGTTAACTGAGGTTAGTTAACCAAGGTTAACCGCACATGTAGCTATTTATAGCTTAGAGTGGTTGACTATCTTGGGTATATATACCATGAGAATGATACGAGGAACTCACTTGAAGTAGTAAACTTTCTCTATGGTATTCCTTTGTGGACGTAGCCCTTGAGGGTGAACCACGTTATACTTGTGTCTCTGTGTTCATTATGTTGTTAGTTTGCTAGTCTGAGAGATTTAGAAAAAATTTTATCACTCATGCACTTATTGAAAAGAAGATTGAATATCCAGTTTCATGCATTGATCATCAAAAATATACTTCAAAAGAAATGATGCTACTTTGCAATTTTTGCATGAGGAGCATAGTTAGAATTTACTAGCAATTTCGTTACCTCTATATATTTTTTTGCATTATGTTTCGTTTATGCTTTAATTTTCAATCTGCTTTGGTTTAAAGAATGTCATAGATTTTTTTATAATAAAAAATTTACAAAAAAAAATCATACAACTTATGAAACTTAGAGTAACCAGGATGTGAATTAAGAATGAGATGGATAGGAGATCATTCAAGTATTCATGTAAGTCAAATCAACCCTAGTTAGTGAAGCTGATTAGACTATCACTATATATATATATCAACTTACAAAAATTTTAGTGAAAAGTTTTTATGAAGTAAAGCCTTGGTACACAATGGTCAACAATATATGTTAGTGTCATCGCGCCTGTGATTTTTATTTTTACTGATTTTGTTGGAGGTTGATGATTTTATTTCTACTCGCGCATGTGCTTGTGCGCTTTCACAATTTTTACTGATTTTGTTGGAGGTTGATGATTTTATTTCTACTCGCGCTTGTGCTTGTGTGCTTTCACAATTTTTCCTGATTTTGTTGGAGGTTGATGATTTTATTTCTACTCCTTAACCTAATGCTTAATCTATTTTACTTTAGTTAATTTAGAATAATCTATGTTATATTTTACTATAAAATACTATGTTCTATATACTTCAAGTTATAGAATTTAGGGTTTAGACTTTAAAAATATCCGTAAGCTAATATTATTTGTGGAAATATAGTATTTTTAGTCATGAATGATTGAGCCATTTATATCCATTTTGGAAAAAAATGTTTTATATTTGGATAAAAAGTTCAAACTCTTTAGCATAGTCTTTCTCACTTATTGTATTTAATAAAGTAATTATCGAAAACAGCTTGTACCATTCAATTATACATTCTACTATTACTAAAGACAGTATATGTGAAATTATATATCTCAAGCTATCAAAAAATTAATAAACGGTTTAGAATGCAAGACTTAAAAGTAAAATGAGTGTTATATACAACAATTGCAATTAAAATTATTGCAATTTTTTGAAAATATTGGTTGATATAGAGCTTATCTACTTCAATCTTCAAGTACTTAAGTATGAACTTGTTGAGTTTTAGACATCTTACTTTTGTAAATTTTTCAATAATCTCAAACAAATCGATTCCCAACAGAGTTTCAAAAAGATTAAATATAGATATATGGCGGAGTTGAGCAAATCTTTGGAGGTGTTCATAACGAGTATCATCTCATGTTTGAAACTGTGATGGATTTTTCGTTCAATTATAATTTCTTGATGAAATTGTTAACTTGCATATACAAATGTAACTTAACGTGGCTAAGAATGAAAATGAGTGAGTGTTACTTATTGTCTGTGATGAATTTTTCAATCAATTATAATTTCTTGATGAAATTGTTAACTTGCATATACAAATGGAACTTAACGTGGCTAAGAATGAAAATGAGTGAGTGTTACTTATTGTCTCTTCCCTCGATGTTGCGAGCAATCTGTTTTGGAGTGAGAATTATACCGACGTCCAATTTGTGCTTGTGCGGAAGGAATACGCTTTTTTCACTTTTCAATCTTCACTTTAATAAACTTTTGTGGACTCGTCAATTGCGCACTCTCAGCAAATCAGGGGCAATGATGATTTTGTGTATCCCAAAATAGAGACCATGAAAATCGAAACAAAGCATTCGAGTGGCAATTTGACATGCCTATTGATGGTATAGCCCTTAGTATGAAACTTGAATGTTTCATAAAAGGGAGTGCTTTTAGAAATGACCTACCCTTTCTGAGGCTCCACCTGAGCTGGTTACTGCGCTCTATTATCCACTTCGATTGGGATGTACATAATTGATTCAGAGATATGATGTTTCGTCAGCACATGGATTCTGTCACTCTTTGATTTGTGTCAAAAATTCTCTCTCTGGGCTAATCTAGCTTTAACACCTCACTCTTCTGTCACCTAATACAGTTCTCCACGAAAAACGCGAGTTTTGGTTACTGACCCTGAATTCCTTATCGCACAATTCAGAAGGCCTTTCTTCCCGACCCTGAACTTCTCAGATGCTGCTGTTCACCGAGCTATTGTCAGAGTGGCGGATATTGGGGGGACGAACCGACCCCATCTCAGCCCCATTCCCAGATCTCCTCTTCGCTCTCAGGATCCCGTACTCCAGTACCTGAAGATCAATCAGAATGTCCAGATTACGTCGAAACGTAATCCATATGCAACGGGAAGTACAGTACGCTAGCCAGGTTCGAAATTTGAATCCGAGATAGGCATGAGGTGGACTTATGACGATGGTTCGGCACATGAGTAGGGGACTTTACGGAGAGTTGAAGACATTCGTGCCCACACGAGGAAAACTATCCGAAGACGAGGATCGAGAGCATTAGCTAAAAATCGTACGGGGCACCAGAAAGCGAAGCTATGTTTGCAGCCTTAGCATGATGGGCCCATGATGGGTCCACTGGAGTATGGCCGGCCCTCTCGATCACTTGCTACACCATGCGGTCAAGAGATGTGAGTATATCACGAAGGCGCACATCTCGGGACCCAATTAAACCTCTCTTAATTATGTACGGCTCGGACTGAGGATGAGACTCATTAGAAGCCAATTAAGCACTGTGCACACAAAATCAGCCTGGGCGACAATATCGAAATGTTTCCTGTCATGCTGCAGGCAGTGCAGGCAGCATTGCGTGTGCCGCATGAGCATCCTCTTCTGCCTACAGCATGGAATTCGTAGGCCTTTGCCGTTGGCATGACAGATGCAGATTTGAAATTCCGTAGCTCTTCGACGAAGGGGAAGCCTCGAAACAATGACAGCCTCAAAAGAGCTGCGACCCCACCGCTGCAAAGCGATCACGGCCTACCGCGGTTACTATACCTACAGTCAAGAGAAACGAACCTTTGGGGATGGTCGGGCCCAATACCACAACGTGACCCTTTTTGGATCGGACGATCTAGGAACAGGTGCTTTGAGTGGTTAGGTTCTCTGGCCTCTGATCACAGCCAGAAGGAAAGGCAGAGCGCAAGCAGAGCATGCGCTGGTCGCAATACATGCACTGAGGAGATTGTTGCAATCTGCAGGTATGTTTAGAATAAAATAGTCCTACTTCCTTATCATGAAGGTCCAGATGTCTTCGAGTTCTTCGTAAAAAGGTTTAGACAAGAGCAGGAGAAAAGCGAGCTACTTTAGGAAAGAAAAGATCGGTAGTACCAGTCCGGTGGCATGTGAGCAGATTCCATCGCCATTACGTCTGGCGAGCGCGAACTCCTCGTGATGTTGAGATACAGGCTCGGATATCCGCCGGCGGCAACAACGGCAGCCCTGGGGCCCGGTATATACAGTATGGCAATGTGCACTTGAGTCTCTACCGTAACAGAATTCCTCATCCACAAGTCCACCGGCTTAAATTTTCACCGCTGTCAGACAAGGAGTACCTGCAGAATGAATTAACCTTCTGACTATAAAGATGTCGGTTCCGGGATGCCCTTCTGCTCTCTGCAGGGCCGCCACTCCAATCACAAGGGATTTCAACTCCTCGTTAACTGAGTCACCTGATCGTCTGTCCACATCTTCAATGAACGTGCAGAAGGTGCGCTCTTATGAAGTGTAATAAATCCCTATCCAACAAAATCTTTCCTTCCTCAAGAAGCTGCATTGCTGCAGGAAGACACGTACTTACCTTCCCAAGCATGTGTGTACGTGAAGGTGGCAGGCCGGAGCAACTACTGAAACCCTTGCATCCACGTACTTTCAACACCGGAAACATTCATTTCTGTAGTCAAGCGCAGTACCAGACCTAGCAATACCAACTTGCCAAGAGCGTCACATAGATTGCATGACCCAAATCCAAGCTACACAGACCTCAGACTGCGGCCCCTTGAGCCTCGCCTCATCGTGGAAGCCTTACCTCCTCAAGTTATGGAGCCGAGAGTCACGGCGAAATAGAAACTTTCCATTCTCAGACGCACGTACAACTCAACAGCCAGAAATTCCTCTTCCTCGTGCAGTCAGTGGATAAACAGATCCACGTGTGTCGCACAAGCAACGCGAAGGAACAGGTCACCATTGTTGACAATACAGAAAGTGTTTGTTTTGGGGAAACGTCAGCCTCACCTAATCTGAAATTAGCCAGATCGCGTGAACCGGTCGCTGCTCATACACGACTCGCAGACCTCACAAAAGACGGTGATTCACCACAAGAACGGCAACCATGTAAAGAGATATGATCAAAAGTCAACACGAGATTGGTACTCCCAAGGGCGATTGGCAAATGAAAATGCGGCGGTTTCATTCAAACTGATCGAAGATAACGTTCACCATATCCAATCGGATGTTAAATATATTCTCCACGCGTCCAGAATCCAATAGGTGGGTAAGGAGGCAGCAGCCTCCCGTTCAAGCCTGAACAAGATGCAAACTATATTACAATGAACTTTATAAGGCATCCGGTCGAATTGGCAATTTGCCGGAAGGACGCATGATTGCTAGCCTATCATTCTTGATCCCCTTGGACCGTGAGCAGATCGTCCAACCGAAGCTCTGTGACTGGGCTTACGAGGAGACTATCCACTGGCAGAGGAACGTTCATAGTCTGGTGGTATAAGTACATATCAGACTCCCGCAGCTATAGATCTTATTCTTCAGAGAAGAATGAATAAAATTATGCTTGGTCGCGTGGGGAGATATACTTGGGTCACATCTTCTGAAGGCTTTGATTTACCTTATAAAGAAAAATGTCGAGGCGTGGCTCCAAACCGCTGTGGCATGAGGGTTTCACAGCCGAAGTTGGAGACGACCTGAACCAAAGTTGGAGATATTGACAAAGGGATCTTCTAATGTCTCGTAAGAGATCTACAAAATGGTTGTGAGGCGCTCGTTCATCCGATTCGCCATACCGAATGCACTCACTCTGCCTTGTCGCTCCACGGCCCTTGTCCTCTGTCGAGAAGAGCCGCGTACAAAAATTCGTTCCAAGTGTCGGGAACGCCAGGCAAGCACCAATGGCTGCAATCTTGGCGATTGATAGGCGAAGGAGGACTCCTTTGCCATATAGAAGAATGTCCGTCCGGTCTGTAATCGGATAGAAGGGTGATGTTCAGAAACTTTATCGGATTCTTGACGTTGTTTTGGATTACCTCCGATATCATCTGATTGACCCAGGGCTCTTGGTAAGACGTGTGGTTCAGCATTGGCCTCTCCTCTTCGACGCAGCTCCCTCCTGTCTTCCATGTTCCGCCCCTGCATTGGCAAAAGTTTCGTTAGCACTGGGTAAGGACTGCCTGCTTCCTCCTCGTTCCCTTGCCAACTCTTGAGACCCCTGCGACCAGCAGATATTTATAGCCCCGGGATCCAGCTTCGTTCAACCCAATTCGAAGTAAATTCCAAAGCTTTCCGAAGAATCTGCAATAGAAACAGGTTCACCTAGCTGGCTAGATAATACTTGCCTGAAGTGGACGGGGGCATAACTCCTCCAAAAGGTTTGCGTCTTCGTGGAATCAATGTTCTCTTCCACAAATTTGGCCACGGTCTGCATGGCTCTTCTAAACGCGTCTCCTACTTCCATTTTCATGTGGACCTTGTTCTCCAATTGGAAATAATTCCCCCTGTACACGAAGACGGACAGAATTCATTACGCGGTTACCGTGTGATGCATTGCGCTACGTCCAACAGACTTTGATTCTCACAGGATTCTTTCGGGAACATGCCGATTAGGAAATCGGGCACGCACGACCAATGCGTAAAACATCTCACTGCGAACATTGAAAAATCCGGTGCTGATGTCCGGATGAGATCAGCGCACAAGGCCAAACATTGCAATCAAAGAGCATACCCTCGAACAGTTTTCTCAAAGCTCCACCAGTGACCGGAGTTGAAGACTATGATATCTGCATCTTTCCACTGAGTAGCGGACCAGTCAATCTGATCCAATTTGAACGTGGAGTGGACTTCAGGTGGTGAATTGGGAGGAGCTCTGCCCTGAGGGACGAGGTACGGAGATCGATAGTATTCCACAGTGCAATTGTAATCTTCAAACCGAAACGATAAGAATCCCTTATGCTTTGTTATAGGTTCGCCGTTGATCTCATAAATTCGAGTTTTGTTGGGTACGGCTGCGGCAAGCATGCACAGCAAAGACTCCCAATTGTTCCGACCAATCGAATCGCCTACAAAAGCAAGGCGCCGTCCCCGCAGTCTCTCCAACATATTTTTGGGATCGAACCTGCAGATGCAGGAGTGACAAAATCAGACGTCTCCACCGCAGTAGATTCATGGACGACATGACTCCGCGCAGCATTCAAAATTCCCTCCTCTTCACTCGATTTACTCACAGGCCGATCGACAATATTTCCAAGTGGCTGAAGCCGAGAATCGATCAGCTAGTATCTCCTGGATTTGGCACGCGGACGGAAAACAGGAATGCAAGGAGTGCTGTGAAAGAGTTAAATTACCTGGGAAGATCGCAACCGGATGGCTGCCATCGGTATTTCTGGAATTCTGCACTGGGCCTTCCGTTCTCCACGCATCGGAATCCTCCATCAACGAAAGGACACGAGTCTGGGGCGTAGAGAGGATAACTCTCATCGTAGACCCACTTACCAACAGAATAATCACATTTGCCATCAACCGCCACATCCCTTAAACCTGCCTGAGTCGATGGTTCCGAAGGTTTCTTCTTAGAAGTCTCTTTTTTCTTCTCATCCCTTTTACTGCGTTCCTTCTTAGTCTCTGTGACTTTCTCAGAATCCACAACCTCTTCGTCTGCAACTTTCTCCACGCTGGGGGACTTAGTAGCCTTCCCGGTAAGCTCTACCGATCCAGAAACTGTTTCCTCACCGGAAGATGAATCAGAGTTGGAGACGACGGACGAATCCTCCTCCTTGATATTGGTGGATGGAGCAGATGCCTCGTCTACTTCCTGCTCAGAAACTACGGCTCTCAATTCTTTCCCTTCCTCTTTTTTCCGTGAAGAGTTCTCCACTTTTTCCTCGATACCCTCTTCCCCTCCGTCTGGCTTCACTGTATCCAAGGCTCCTTCTTCAGAGCTTACACTCTCTTCTACTACTGTCTCTTCTTCACTGCTTTCCTTCTCCGGAACTGTCTCCTCATTCATGCTTTCATTCTCGACTTCTGCCTCCTCTAGCTGTACACGGCCCCCTAAGTCTGCGGGTTCTTCTTGACTACTGTCACTATCGACGACTTTCTCCACGGTCTTCACAGATTTCTCGGCGGCATCCTCTTTCTCCGCATTCGCTTGGACCGAACCATCCTTCGAGTCTGAGGTCCCTTCCTCAGGCTGCGCATCATCAGACAAGCCACCATCTACCGCTAAGAGGCCCTCGGTGGGGACTCCCTCGGGAGTCCATCGATCCTTGATCGTTGCTTTAGTTTCGCCGTCCTCTGACCGCTTTCGGAACGAATTTGATTTCCGCTTCTCATCATCGTCGTCGTCGTCGTCGTCATCGTCGGCGTCCTCCGCTCGACGGCGCAATTCCTTCCTCAGACTTGGGCTTCCTCCGACGTCCGAAGAACCGGAGCCGGAGGTGGACTGGAAGTACATTTCTCCAGCCTGCGCTCGGAGTGCCCCAAGCTGATTCGACGCATGAAGCAGCAGGGCTGTGGGTGATGTCCGAATATCAAACAACAAGAAACAGAACAGGAGAAAGAAAACCGTAGAAAATAGAAGAGTATACACACTCCAGTGCTTGGGAACCAGATCAATCAGAGAAGTACGTAAAACCTTGCCACGGGTCTGAGCCAACTTTTTAAGCTGATGGCCCGCCATTTCAATCCTCCCGATTACCACACTACACAGGCCTCTCAACCAGCAACTTATAGCAATGGGTGAATCAGATTGGGACTTGCGGATTGAATCGCCATGTCTTCATCAGCAGCTCGTCGAGCGAGGTCCGGATTAATCCGACGCAAGCCTCAACCTCTGGATCCTGTGAAGTCTCATCGGGAAGCACACGGCGCCATGCTGCAGCAAGCCAGCTTTGGTGAATCTCGGAAGCCGGCAATGCCAGTCGACGCTTTTCAAGAAGAAAGAAGCGTGCAATTTAAGCCCCTTCCAAAGCCTCCGCGTCTAGGTCTAATCCCGGGGGGGACTGTGGTGGACGTGGGCGCGCAGCACGAGTCGCTAGGCCAATGGCGCACCGAGGATCGCGATTTCGACGCTCGTATCAAGCGATGCAATTTCGACACCGAGACGCTGCGTAGGGAGGGGCTGGAGATGGCTGAATCTTGAGGTTGTCCGTTTCTGCAGTCTCAATGTCTGGAGCCTGTCCGATTAGCACCTGCACTACGATGGATCCCGCAGAGGCAGAAGCCCGGGTCGAGCTCAGCCTGCGAGAATGCACGGAGGAGTGGAGACGCTGGAGATGATTGGGCAAGTTGCTGGCTGCTGCTGCTGCCGCTACCGCCCCGAAGTTTGTTTCCGCGGCAGGAGCTTCTTGCGATCAGCAGCTTCGGCAGCTGCAGCAGCGTCGCCTGCTCCTCTTCTGCTCGGCTCCGACTCCGCCGGATCAATTCTACAGCGCCTCCGAATCTCCCCGGCCCGACTCGCAAAACTCCAAAACCTCCTAATCTTATGAGGCGACTCGCGAGTCGGCCTCTGCAGCAACCCAAGGAAGCGAGCATCCACACCGTCGCCAATCAGTCAGCCATTGCAGCCCGTCGCCTCACCGGCAGCATGATGGATGCATCTCGGATCCCAGCTGCTGTCGTTCTTGCTCCCTTTCTTGATTATTCTATTGCAGCGTCTTGCCTCGCGTGCCAGCGATGCCTGCGCACTCGCAGCCCGCCCTCGCACCCTTCACCGGCTGCTCCGACTCCGCCCCGACCGCTTGGAGCTCCTCCTCGCAGCATCCACCATCATTCACCACGAACAGGCCCATCCCCATGCCCGTCCCGCCCGAGCCTCGAAAAGCGGCTTCGCATCCGACTGCAGTGCGATCACACTGCACATTGCTGGTGGGTGCTCGCCCGGACTCGCGCCCGCAATCCAAGATTCGCCATTCTTCTCTTGCCCCATGACTCCGTCACGCACGCAGCCTCACCATCCGTTCGAGCTCCGACTACCCTTCTTGTCGTGCCCGATTTCCTTCGTTGCCATTCTATCCATTTTCTTTCCTCGCCCGGCCTGTGGACCTGCACTCGCCCCGGCCCAATTGCAGATTTTCTTCCGCGTGCCTGCGACGATCAGACTCGGCCGCAAATTCGCAGCCAAGAACGACAAATTCCGAATCACGCCAAGAGCACTTTCGCTCGATCACTCCATCGCTCGCTCTCGTTGACGTAATAGCCCCCGGCACATGTCGAGACTGCCACCCCCGCCGGATTGTAGAAGCACAACACGGCACGGCGGGTCAACCCCGCACCGCGCACCAGGACGGACATCGCGGCAACGGAGTTCCCGAGTTACTTACTGCGTAGAAAGCCGGCGATTCGGGCTCACGGCCCCGGTACGAGTCTCTCGTGAACTGTCTCGTCGACGAGGCCATTTCCCGACCGGAGGTGGCAAGCGTTCACGTGGCTCGGGGCCAGCAGCAGTCCCGGCCGGAACTTCATCCTTTCCAGCAGATCGTTTGTCCCGCGCTTTCGAGGACCGCAATGACGGCACGGCATGGACATCGTCCGGTGTCCGTCCGCCCGTCCGTCTCTTCGGTCTTCCTATCCATCCATCGGTGGTGGATAGAACAACGGAGTCACGGCAGCGGCGTCGTCGGCTTCGCCGTTCCCGTCTGCTCGTCCGCTACGGCGCTACTCTGACAGGAGGACGGAAATGGATGGGAGGGAGTCCGAGTTTCCCAAAGCGTCGTATGCCGCAAGTGTGGCGAGAAGTTGATCCGCATTCCCTTCCGGTTTGCGTTGAGGTGAACAATGCCGGTGGCCCGCTGGATCGCGGTGTCGCGAAGATAGCATAGCCTCCACTTTTAGCCGTGAGGCGAGTTCGGGTCCACCATCCTTGTCCAGAGCGGAGATGTCTGCTGGCACGGCCGGCGGATTCACGTGGCCCGGGGGTGGGGTGGAGTGGGGTGGCCACCGAACAGCATCGCTCCTGGATGTCAACCGGATGGTGAATGCAATTTGGCACTGCTCCACTTACTTATGGCTCTGCTCTGGTTTCAGCCCACTTCCTTCTGGCCTTTCCCCACAGTGCTCGCATCGGCCGAAGATTTCGACCCCACTGCCGGAAGTGCGTGATTTAGTGTCGTGAGTCTATCTCTCTCGGAGAGCTCGGTCGGCATACGTTCATCAGAAAAGTACGGGGGAGCAATGGCGTCATGCCACTGCTTCTGCAAGCCGGCAGCATTCCAGAAAAAACGAAATGCATGCCAGTGACAGTTTGCATGAATTTCTAAATATTCTCCGGGGCTTGTAAGCCCGGACAAGTTAGCCTGCGTTGAACGTATTGACTGTTAGAAGTGCAGTACAAAAGTAAAAGCAATTTCGGGCAAAAGTGGGACTGAATGTTGATTGATGACATCGGTCCCACAATCTTCTTATGTGCAAAAGATTGGGTCCCCTAAAACAATTCCCCTACTCCAAGATGCTTCTGACAACTCTATACTCTTTACTGGTCGTTTCACTGATTTATCGATCAGCTCGAGAATGCCTTGAAGAGACGTGGAGCATGCCAAAGCCTCTTGTAATCAAATCATACTGCAAAGCTTTGGAGAGACACAGTACTGGTGAAAAGCTAGATCAAAATTTGTGAAAAAAACTTTCTTCGATTTCAGTTCTTTGTTTTCTAGTTATTATGGTTGAGGTTTGGTGCAAGTCTCCAATTCTTCATACGTAAAAGTATGTCAAGCTTGCGCATGAAAGATTATGGAAGTTTTTAACACATGGGTGTGCGAGGTGCTACTCAACTACTAATTACTATCCTGGAACCTGGAGGCTTAAAATTTCTCTTTAATTGTGCCTTTATCTCGGACTACTTATGGGCGACAACTTAGTTGATCCATTCCTCCGACTATTTCTCTTCATTATGTTGAATCAGTTCAAATCGTCCAACTACCTCAACGAAAGACAGCGTGACTACTTTGCTTATCAAACTGAACTTGGAACACGTATTATTCCAGTATGATCAAGTTACCTTATCGAGTGCCCTCACACTGAATCACTCAACGATCAGAAACGAATATTGACTTCGTCATATATACCAAGTCACAATTTTCTCTTCAATTGTGCTTTTATCTCGGACTACTTATGGGCGACAACTTAGTTGATCCATTCCTCCGACTATTTCTCTTCATTATGTTGAATCAGTTCAAAACGTCCAATTAAGTCATCGAAAGACAGCGTGACTACTTTGCTTATCAAACTGAACTTGGAACACGTATTATTCCAGTATGATCAAGTTACCTTATCGAGTGCCCTCACACTGAAGCACTCAACGATCAGAAACGAATATTGACTTCGTCATATATACCAAGTCACAAAATCGAACAGCTGGAAACACTTCAGATGGGGAGTTGTGCGGGATGTGGCTGGGGGGATGAAATTCAACGGTCTTTGTCCGAAAAAGTTTCTTCTGTTCGGGATTCTCTCAATAATGCCGGGAGATTTTAAGCCGGAAGCTACCGAGTTCCGAGCCTTGACATCCCGTCTGCATGACATATGTTATGATATGGAGTCGGTGGTCATGATTCTAACCTTCCCTGGTTGTGTTTTGTTATGTATAATGTCTTTAGTCATTGCTGTGGAGATCTGTATTGACCATTTGAGTCTTATGATTGACAAACGTCAACCATGTGTAGGGAGGCACCCTCCATGCACGAGTGATGTAGCATGTATTAGGCGCACAATTATGACGTTGGGAATGTCGTTATATCATCTCAGTGGATCATCTGGTTTGAGACATGATACTTCATAAATGATTAGTGTAGGTGGAACTCAGTAAATGTGAGCTTCTGTCTGGGCACACCAATCACACAACTCGTGTACATGCGTAAGTTTCGTGGGAAGACCAAGAGTAAACCCTTGGTCTTCTCATAAAATGAAATACCGGTCATGTACAAGCACTTCCATCACATTACTATTTTCGCAGAGAATGGCGGGCGGGCAACCTTTCCTTGAGAGAGACGTATAATGGGTTTCTAAGTCCATCAGCTGTGCATTCGGTCACATCTAATTAAAGGTGGCAGACCACGGGTGGTTGTTGTGTAACATGTGTAAAACACGCCTAGTTAAAGCACTGAGTTGAAAGACTTATGCCCGCGGAAGACCATCGTGTTGAATGTGAAGATCGTAAGAAATTTTAATTGGCAATTGACACTGTCCACATATCACTAGTGTAGTCAGGAATACAAATGCTCATATTAAACCCCATTTGATGAGGTTTCTCCTGGTTTTCCAACCCAGAAGGAGAACGACCCAAACTTAAAATGAAGATGGAGGGGTGCTCATGAAACGTCTCCGGTGCATAATAAGTGCATAATAAGGTTCATCGTGTGCTGAGGTTCAAGACTCCTTTTGGTGGTCATGATGTGTGCGGAGGAAAATTTTGCTTGGTTATGTAATACAACACGGACTGTGCGTGACGTATTCTCATTTAGAGATTGTTTATGCAGTTAGTGAGGATGGTTCACGTCTCGTTGAATTGTCCTCATGTTGCGATGACTACAAGTTTTGCAACATCCCAACCTTGATCGCTGAGTTGTTACTTAGAAAACAGCGTTGCGTTATTTATCTTGACTTAGCTGTTGGGTGAAGAAAATTCATCAATGCAGTACGTGACTATGATGAATCTTATTATATTGTTTAAAGTATTACTGTGTTGGTCGCCTGTGTGTAGGTCGTGGAAGAATTTCTATAGTAATTCATGTTTAAGTCTGGTCGCTTTCCGTATTGTAATAAAAGAAGTTATGCACTGACAAGCTAGAATCGCAAATCGTTCATGAACTTATAAAGTGCACACCTTTTCCTCCAATCATGTCATCAAATTGTTGTGACGCCATAATCCACCGGATGATTTGCAGAAGATGAATGACATGCTCCTGAGTGGTGTCGCCTACTCGCGTCCACAAATGGCCATCATCTTCCGGTTGCAACTTGACACATAATGCTGGCTTGTACATGTAGATTATGTGAGCTGTTAAAAGCACGACGATGAAAGTGCTTCTCTCGATGTGGGTACCAACAAGCACACGGTTGAATTAAATCCAAAATGAAAATGAATAATACAAATAATTTGGAAAAAATATTTGCCAAAACGTTAACACGAAACAACCAGGATCTGTTCACCGAAATTCAAGGGAACAAAAAAGCTTTGTGTTTACGGTAAGGGCGAGTGTTATACAGCCAACAGCGATTGAGGTTGAATATGTTTACAAGATTCATTAAAATCAACTTAACATATCAATATATACGTGACTTGAGGATTCTCACACCAAGAATTGCAGTAACATTAGTCGTTTCGAATGAGATGCAATGCCAAGTCAAAGCTGTAGAACTGATTGCGATCGAGGAATGTCGGAAAGCAAAGGTGCACAACCACCTGAAAAATCCCTCTAACGACTGAAGCTTCTACAAACGGCATGTACTATTAGCACCATGTTTATAGTGGGAAGTAATCGAGTCTTTGGCAAATATTTAGATTGATCACAATTCAAAACTCGCAATGTCCATAGTTCTCCTTCTTTTCCCTCCTTTGCATGAAACTGCGAATAAGTTCAAAGCATATCAATTGACATCGAATTAAACTTCAGAAATCACCACTTGGCAATTTTCAACGATGAAACCTTTTTCGTTTACCTAAAGTCTTCACTTGAGATGATTTCTTACAATTCTGATTTTCTGACATACTCGAAAAAAGCTAGTCTTGATTGTCTGTAGATGCAGGTCCGAACATGAGACACCACTTTTTGAACTTAGTAAGTCTTCTGGACGAGAAATTTTCACCATCATGATCTTCACTTCTTAGCTCGCATTGAACTACAGCACCAAGTAATTCTCCTGATATCTTTATCAAAAGCTTCGCCGACTTATTGGATTGCGTTTTTAACCTTGAAATTATGGTTATGGTTTCAATCTATGGTTAGTTTTTTGCATTGAATTATATCACAATAAAAAACTGTACGATTTTATCATTACAATAAGTCAACATAGAACTCGATCTCATTTTGTTGAAAAATGAGGTGTATTTTTTTTCATAAAATTTACTTCGG